TTGAGTGTTGTTCAGTTTGTGTGTTGTGGAACATGCGTGTCCGTGCATGAAAATATACCACACACCCAATTACAATTGCAAGTTCAATTCACTACCCTGGAAGTTAATACAGTTGTTAAAGTTGGAACAGCCTGTGGACAGCCGTTCTTCCTTGCATGTCAGTCGCCGACACCTTACAGAGGACAGGCACATCTAGCTGCAGCACGACCCGTATATTTCCGCACGCCGTGTTCTCAAGACATATTTTTTTTAACATTTTCAACATGGTGGATAAATCCTTATATGCTCCCGGTAACACACTGAACGTCAACTTTGCCTCCTTATTACACTCACCACTACTTTAGTGGGAACAATGAGTCTGCGTCTTTGATGCACACAGGAATAAACGCAGATCATACTCTGGCTGCAGCCTTGACCGGTTACTTGTCTTTTGATACAAAGTACAATGGACGGAAAAACATGCACTCAACAAAGGTAGGTGGAGGTGAAGGGAATGAGCACTTTTACAGCCTTTTTGGTGAGGTGGGGGAACTCGGTCTCCACAGACAGCCACAAGTGGGCAAGTGTCACATTACTCGTCTTTTTCTCGTTCTTTTGTGTCTCACGCTGCGCCTCCCCCGAAGCTCTCTGGCGCCCCTCACACTTTGAAAACCGCTGATATAGAGTACAACATGCTCAGCAGAGATGACGCTCCTGTAAGCTCCAACATCACATTACTGAGTTGTGTTAATGTTCCGTGCACTGATCATATTTCACCCTCACAATCATAGTCAAATGCATTTCCTTTTTTCTAGGGGAACCTGAATTTGACATCTATACTGAGGTAAGACTAAATTAATCTTGATACAACTTTTTAGTGTGTTTGTGCTCATGTGCGCGTGTGACCTGCAGGCGTCGCTGTTCTCGTTGCCGCTCTCGGTGCTCCCTGCCTGGCTGCAGATCTTGGAGCCGTTCTCTGTCTTGGCGTCCTGCTGGTGTTCAGGCAGCAGAAGCAGTGCGTTCCTCAGGCCGATGGCTGCAAACTCCATACTGGCTACTGGGATAGCTGCCGACTGGCCCTCACTGTACATACACACAATTATACAATATTTCACTCCATTGAAACATATTATTAGAGTCAAACATGCTGTCATATAATATTCTGCAAGAGATCTTGTCATATTCAATGGTATTGTTTTTACTTGACAGAGACAGATTAGCTGTTCCCCAGTTCCTAATCTTCATGCTAAACTAATCCACGCCCAGTTTTTCATATACACGCAGTTAGTTTCAGCAGGTGTGTGTGTGTGTGTGTGTGTGTGTTGGAGGATGGACACTGACCTGTATATAGTGTTCTGGGTAGACTGCGACGCCAGGATGATCTTGCGATGGTAGCCTTGCCCGACAATAGACTGAACTATACCCTTTTTACAAGGTAAACCTTTGCTTTCTTGCTCCGATCCCTGGAAAACAAACAGACATTGTTCGCCTTTATAAAGCTGTACAATGAGTAAACGTTACTTTAGAAATACATGTTCAAACAAACTAATAGTTGGTGGAGACACAGACACCAACGCTGAAAAATGAAATAGAGGATCTATTCTGCTCATTTTCAGGTTCATAAGTGTATTTTATGCCTCTACTGTGACATGTTTCCATGTATTGATGTTCAAAAAGGTTATTATTTTTCTCATACTGCTGCAGCACCTCTTTTCACCCTCTGCTTAGAGATTTCCCCCCCCCCACATACAATGTGTTGGAGTGCTAGCAAATAGAAGCGTGAATGTGACGTAGTCTGTCAGTAAACCAAGGAGTCTACTCGTTACAGGCAGGGTGGGGGAGTGTTTGGGAGAGAAAGGCCCTTTGGGGGGAGCTTTGTGATTGTAGCCTTTGCAGACCATTTACATGCACAAAAACCTATAACACTCTACAGGAAAGAGAAAGCCACCAAAAGCATAAAGGGTAAAAAGGAAAATCAACATGCCACAGAGCTGAAGTGAAATGAGGAGGTTTCTCAGTAAAGTGTGAGCACCTTGTTAGCGGAGATGCAGCACTCTGCGAGGCGCAGCCACAGTCTGGGGTTGGAGTGGTACACCTGCACGGCCTCCATCAGACACTCGAAGGCGGCCAGAGGCCTTCCGATGTGCAGCAGCTGGATCCCGCAGTTATACAGCAGCTCGTAGCGCTTGTTCGCTAGCAGAGCGCACATCGGGATACCTGTGAACTTCTTAGCTGGAGAAGAGAAAGACATCTTCTTACCGTGGTGATAATAATAATAGTAATCATTTAGAAAACTTCATTTGTATAGCACTTTTATACATAGGATGCAGCTCAAAGTGCTTTAACAATGGATGTAAAACAAGGGAAGAGAATAAATTAAATAACTAAATTATCCAAAAGTTCACAACAGATAACCTACTCAGTAAGTAATACAAAACACAAGACAAAATAAAAATACATAATAAAACAATTTAAAAAGGCAATATAAAATCAATAATAATAAACTCTATAACCAATTATAGGGGGACACTAAAAAAGAATGTGTTTCCAGTCGTTTCCCTCTAATATGCTACCCGCTCTATCGAAATCAGTCGGAAGTCTCAACGGCTCATTTCAAAATAAACGTGGATTTGCGTAAAAAACTAAACTCTGTGTTTTGTTTGATTAAAAAAAAAAAAAAAAAGTCTTGGCTTTCAGAATATGAAACTTTTATTTCCAAAATCACACGATAAATACATTTTTGAAGCTTGTAAAGGGAAGATGACAGCTCTCCCTCGCCAATCTGCTGTTCCACAGCGCTGCCCCCCCTCCCTCCGGCTGAAATTATGAATGTAAGCGTATAGTAATCATAGATAACACGGCAGGGTCCGTTACAGTTTGCTTTCATCTGATTTCAATTAAACAAAGTCTTGGCTTTCAGAATATTAAACTTGTTTCGGCAAATTCAGATCATAAATACAGGTTTGAAGCTTGTAACGGCATAATTATAAGCGGAGAACGAGTTACGCCTGCTGTGACGTGAAGTTACTCACTTGACGACTCACTTGACGACATACACACACCCGCTAATAATCAATCAGATCGATGGATTCCAGAGAAGAGGAAACTTTGAAGGCCTTTTTCTCAAAATGATGACTCGGTGACAGTCATTATATAATGTGACATATTTCGCTTAATATTTGGTACAAAAACAATCCTGATATCATTAGAAAGCTAGGAATATCCTCTTTCCAGCAGTGTATACAACTCAAAATGTGTCTTCGGGTCAATGAGACTGATTTCGATAGAGCAGGTCACATTTACATATTTTAAATGTGCTTGTTCAAAAGTGGTTGTGTTGGCAGACCAATG